GTTTACAAAATCATGTTAAAGATGGTTAGCCTAAAATAGATTAAAAATATATTTTTTTTGTCATTTAGTACGTCACAAAAATCATTCAAAAACGAAAACGAAAATATTACGGTGAATGAAACAAGAGTTTAACTTTAATGTTTGCAATTGAAATAGAAACGTAATATTGCTAAGAAAAGGAAAAAAATGGATCTGTGCGAAAAAAAATGATAATAATGACTAAAAAATTGAGTTTGGAGTGGGATTGTCTTTAATGGGAGCAAATTAAAAACATATAAGTTGAGCCTTTAAACCTAAGGAGAAAATGGAAATATCATGGGGGGGGGGGGGGGCAGCTGCCCGTACTTACCATATGTAGATCCGCCCCTGTGAGAACTGCTATAGCATGAAGTAACACATGGGATTTCTTTTCAAAAAAATATTTTAGATGTACTTACAAGTTTCACCTAAAACAACATCTCTAACCTCAATTGTTCATGGATCTAATACATGATCCAAGAACCTCTCCAACAAACCTTTAGCCCCTTTGATCAAGATCTACGATGCTAAACTCTTTTTTGCTAAGAACTATTTGAATTACATTAGTTGACGTCTAAAAACGTTGTGACTCGCTATCTATACACAATAGGACATCATACTATTGTGGCTAAACCTAGCCTTGACTTCCAAGTTGAGATGACACTAAATCTTTAGCAATATCACCTATTTCCTTATTCTTAGGCAAGACATAAGAAAATCTTCAATGCTCCTTGATCCTCTCCAAGATCTTTCTTCCAACTCAGCTACAACTTATGACACGTCCATATTAGCTTGAATAGCTTGGTTCAAGCTCATATCTTCAAGCCCACTTCGTTTGATCGATGCTCCTCACTCTCCTTCTATCACTTATAGTAGCACTTTGCGACTGGTACAAGAACTGCTTCAACAACAAACTACTTACTTCATATTTCAGATGTTTTATCATCCGCTTCTCAACTCCGTAAATTGAACAACTATATCAGCTCATATTGAATTTTAAAACTCATTCAAACATACACTTCCAGCGAGTA